GATGTCTTTCTTGTTTTCGATCACCTCCTCCTGCAGTGTTTTCATCGCCCGCTGGAGGTACTCCCTCGAAAAAGCTTCGGGGTTCCCATAGAGCATCCTGCGGCTTGGTCGGGGGATGCCACTGGGCAGGACCTTCGTGGGATCACGCTTGGGCGGCATACTGGCGCAGCAAGTAATTGGCGGGCCCGATCGCCGAGCCTGATGCGCCTCTCAGGCGCGGAGCGGTTGTCTGAGATATTGTCGACTGATCTCTGAACAGCTGCTTGGGCCGAAGCAGCAGAGGACACGCCGCAGCCGACCGTGCAGCCTCGAGGTCCCAAGAGGCTCTGTCAGGAGGGCCTAAGAGGCTCTTTCAGGAGGGCCCAAGAGGCTCTGTGAGGAGGACCCTAGAGGCTCTGTCAGGAAGGCCCAAGAAGCTGTTTCAGGAGGGCCTAAGAGGCTCTGGCACGGGGGCCCTAGAGGCTCTGTCTGGATTCTGGAGGGCCCAAGAGGCTCTGCCAGGAGGGCCCAAGAGGCTTTGTCAGGAGGGCCCACGAGGCTCTGTCAGGAAGGCCCAAGCCGCCAGCGTCGCCGCCACCCGCAGTCAGACCCCGCAGCCGCAGCCGAACCTCACCCCTCTGCTGAAGCCGAACCCCACCCCTGTGCAACTAAGGCTCCCCCCTCTGCTGCTCTCCCGCTGCTCATCCCGTGCGCGCAACCCCTGCGCTACTCTGGTGCACACGCAACGTGCGCGCGCATGCGCCGCCCGTGCCCCCCAGCACCTCGGGTTACTGCAGGTCCTACGTTGCTCGGCGCCATGCCAGCAAGCCGAAAGTATCTTTAGTTGCACATAGCCGCGCAGTGATCACAACGACCCTGAGTTACTTTAGTCTCAACTAAAGACCTCGCGCTGGACAGCGCAAAACCGTTTTAAGTGCAACTACACGCCACTTAGGTGCAACTAAGTACCCTTTAGTTGTAGTTATGACGCGTGTATCGATCCGATGTGCGAGTATATACATACAAACACCAGTTAGCTACAACTAAACACCACTTAAGTGCAACTAACCACCACTTAAGTACATCTAGCATACATCAGCTCCGTGTCATATGTGTGGTTAAAGTGACTTTACGGCACCGCTGTCCGCCACCCGTAAGTAGCGCCTAGTTGTGGATAAAGAAGAGATCGGGGGCCCTTGTGGCAACATCAGAAACAAACACCCCAAGTAAGATACATGCGCACGCGCGCGCGAAAGCATGCGTGCAAGAAGGAAACGTGACCAACTGTCAGACTCGCACCTATCGGGCGATGCGGCTCGAAGAAACCTGTTGACCGAGCGAAAGGCCCGCGTCCGCGCGGGCGCCGAGCTCTCGGGAGGGGCTGATGCATCTCCGCGCTGCCATCGGGAACCACTGCGCACTGCAAGCGTCCTGAACTCCACTCCTAGCCGTGCACACCTGGAGGACGAGCCCACAAGTCAACCAAGTCGGCCTGCTCTTCGAGCTCGCCTGGCTCCTGACCCCGCTCCTTGCCAAAAAGGACTGGCGAGCTTGGGTCGAGCCTGACTATGTCTCGAAACCGCATGCGGCACGCAACAGGGCGGGTAAAATTATAAACTCTGAGTTTATCTTTGTGCTCCTCTCGGGACCCCGTCGACATGGCGAGGCTCAACCACGCCACCAAAAAACCGATCGGCCTTCCACCCCGAGGAAGCCCGTCGGGGCCATGCAATGTCTTCGCTAGCGGCGTTCGCCGCATCACACAACACCCGTGGCCAGGGTTTGAACATATCGCCTCGAAGTTGTTGTACTTCGAATAAAATTTGATCGCCCCCCCTGCCACGCGAATCGTTGCATCGGCAGGGACTGCCGCTGCTTTGGGATGGGGCTCTGGGGGCATGGGAGCCCCCCCGTGCGGAGGCTCAGGCGGACCTGGAGGCGGGCCTGGGGGCTCTGGAAGAAGCACTGGATCGGCTGCCCCAGCGGCCCCGTCCCCGCCGACGGGCGGCGCGCCGCCGCCGCCGTGTGGTCCGCCAGCAGGTCCGTGGTCATGCGGCCCAGCGAGAAGCTCAGCAACCTACCCTCCCACGGCGCTGCGCGCCCCGCCACGCCCACCCCCTCCCCCCCTCAAAGATCATGCGTCCGCCGAGAGCAACATCCCACCTATTGCGCCCTCCGCCCGCCATGCAAACGGCATTCGCGGCGCATTGAAACACACTTGCTTGTCGGGGCAGCGTCGGGCCGCTCGAGGCCCAAGGCAGGCCAGCCCCGCCGCCCGCCGCCCGACCGCCACCCGCCAACGCTGAGCCCAAACAACCACCGACCCACCACCCACACGCCACGCCGCCAGCCCACCACCAACTCGCCAGTCACCCACTCACCACCCACCCAGTCACCGCCAACCTCTGTAACGTTAAGGAACTCCCTGTGGGGCGACGAAAAACGGGAGGGGTGCGCCGCGCACATGGAGCGCCCGCTCGAGCTCAGGCTTGCTTCCAGGGCCACGACTGCGCCTATAGATGACCCCGTCCCTCCTCGATCGCCCCCACCATCCTGCCTCCTCCCGACGATCAAGACAACTCGCCTGGGGCATGTTTCTCGGTGGGCAGGCGGAGGTTCGCGAAGCGCCAACAATGACAACTCAAGACAGCGTCAACGAAGGACAGCCCCTAAAGACTCGGGGGATCTTCCAGAAGCCACTGGCCCTTCTGATCGCACCCCTCGCCATCCACACATGCCCGTCTCTGTTCTCTTGATCCCCCCTCCCTCGTGCGTCCTCCTCGATCCAACGACAACGGTTGCCCGCGTCGTAATTGCTACGGTGTGCTCTTCCCTGGTCGGCTCCGATCGCCTGGGCATCGTTTCTGAATGGCATTGCAGGGGCACGGGGCGCTCGATGAGCTCCTGCGCGTGGCCGATCGAAACAAAGCTGTGCATGGTAGCCATGGCTGTGCCGATGGCCAGCGCCCCAAACGTGGGGCCACCCCGACCTCATCATTGCCATTTCGTTTAGGTCGGCGCTGTCAGATGGCCCCTCGGGCGCTGCGTTTGGACATGCATTGTCGGCGATGGCGCTGTGGTGATTTAGAGTTCACCAACCATCCTGCGATCCTGTGGCGTTGGGTCCTCGTTTTGAAGAAACAGTGCCGCGCGTCTCCTCATAGCACCCCCCTCCTCTCCTCCCCATCCTCCCTCCCCTCTCCCATCTTCAGCATCATCATCATCATCATCGTCATCGCCATCACCATTTCGGCGCGCCCCTCTCACGCTTCGCGGGGGCGAAGGCCCCAACGGGACCGCCAGCATGCGTCACGCACGCCGAATTCGGCACACCCCTCAAGCATTTCGGTGGGAGCATGACTTGAGCGAAGAAAGGAAGTAAAACTTTACAAGGAGCTGTGTTTGTACGGGAGCTATGTGTGTAGAGGCAGTTGCGTTTGCACGGGAGCTGTGCCTGTATGAGACATGTGTTTGCACGCATTGACGAGTGGATGAACCAAGCCCCCTCCTCCTGCTGCTCCTCAGCATCCCTCTCATCATCCCCATCATCCTCCTCGTCTTCCTCAGTATCCTCTTCCTCCTTCTCATCCTCTGCCTCGTTCTCCTCCTCCTCCTCCTCCTCCTCCCCCTCCTCCTTCCCATCCTCCTGATCTCAGCGACGTGCAACTGCGGTCACCGCAATTGTCAATATTTGTTTCAATGGAGCCCCCTATGGTACACGAATCGTCTGAGGGATGTGCCGTAATGAATGGGTGGTGAGTGGGCGGCGGGCGGTTGGTGGGCGGGTGGTGGGTGGGTGGCGGGTGGTGGGTGGGTGATGGGTGGGTGGTGGGTGGTGGGTGGGTGGTTGGTGGTTGGTGGGCGGGTGGTGGGTGGGTGGGTGGGTAGTGCGTGGGTGGTGGGTGGGTGGCGTTGTGGGCGGGCGGTGGGTTGGCGGCCGGTGGGTGGCGGGTGGGCTGTGGGCGGGCAGGCGGGCGGGCGGTTGGCAACGAGCGCGGGAAACGACGACGCGCCCCACGTAAGACAGAGCGCCTCACAAGCTCGCCGTTTTGACTCGGAACCACATGTCTCAAGTGAGCCCGAACGTGGGCCATGCAAAGGAAAACCAGATGACGCGCTCAACGCGCTACTATACCTCACCCGATGATATTGAAACATATACCTGCTCCATCTGTGCAAAGGCAGAGTGTACAGGGAGGGGGGGGCGATAGTGAAAAGTGAATGAGAACGCTGAGAAATATGAGCGGCGGCTGGCAACTGATGAAGGGCCTATGGCAACTCGCACTCGCCATGCGCGGACCTGGTCTCATGGCGCCTGGCTCTCGGGCGAAGCGATGGGCAACACCGCACCGCGATGCCCCTCATGCGGCTGCGCGTCCAGCGAGGGCTCGGCCGCGACGGTCTCGGCGATGGGCACAGCCGCGGCCGCGCGGCCAGTGGGGTTCAAAGGCTGGGCGTCGAGCAAAGCGCGGCGCTGGTCGTCCCGCGCAGCGTCGGCCAAAGCGATGGCGTGGAAGGACTGCGGCATCGGCCTGGAATCGGGAAGAGGGATGGCCCTTCTGTACGACGGTGGTAAACGGATGGGCTCTGGCAGAGACGCGAACACAACATCGCAAACACATGGGAAATAATCGCACCGCATGCATGTCCGCGTGCTCCTCGGGCCGACGAAAGCGTCAGGGTGGTAATGCGGGGTCTGAACATCCCCCTCCGCCTCCACTGACTCGGCCCAGCGCGGGCTGGCGTCAGTCAGCGCGGCCATCGAGCTCCTTAGCCCGAGCGCAACCTCGACTCGGCGCAGCCGCTCGTCGATCTCGATGACCCTGTCCTCAACCTCAGCGATGGTCTGGAAAGCCTGCGCCCTGCCCATCCCGCCGCTCGAGGTGGGCGGGCAGGGCGGCGTGGCGGAAGGAGGTCGCCAGGGGAAGGCTTGGGGCGGGCAAGGGGAAGCGGGCTGGCGATCAAGAGCGGGAGCGGGAAGCGGAACTGGGCGGAGAAAGAGCGGGCGATTACCTGGAGAACTAATGCCCCCCCTCCCCGTCCGTGTCCATCTCCCTGGCGAGCTGCGCCAACTGCTGGCGCTGCGATGCCCCGTCGCTGCGGCCGTGCGCGCGGGGTGGGCTTCTCGATCGGGAGCCGCGCGGCATGCTGCCTGCGCGTGCGCCAGCGGGCATGGCCGCGCCGAAGTCGAGCGGGGCGTCGGGCTGGGCGCCGCGCATGCCGCCGAAGGACGGGGCGTCGCCCTCGCGAGCGCCCGAGCCCGCCACCGCGAGCTGAGCGTCGGGCTAGAGAGCCGAAATCGCTACGGACGGCGCCACTGCATCGGCACGCCGGCTATGCGAACCACCCACAACAATCGAACCAAACTATATTGCACGGAGGAGCTCCGATGCGGCCCTGGACGTGCCAAACGGTGTCGGGTAACAAAACTACCTGCCGATCCCGAGACGGCCTGGCCCTGCTCTCCGCACGAATGCACGCGCCCATCGCACGCACCGAGGAGGCGAGGACGATGCCTGGGAAACGACGGACGGGACGACGAACGACATCAGGGTGATGGAAGAGGGAGGCTGCGGGAATGGCGATGGAAAACACAGTCAGTGCTATGAGGGCGGGGGGTGGAGGCGGCGACGAGCATGGAGACGAGGATGAGGATACGGGGAGGGGGTGGTTGGTGGCATATCAACGCCCTTCCCACGGCCCCCATCTGAGCATCGCCGCATGCGCCCTCGGGCCCCAGGGACGAGTTGCACTGCTACGCTGGATCAAACAACCCTTTCACTCACGGCATCCAAGCAGGAACGATGATAACCCAAGTTGAACGCTGTCACTGAGCAATGCCGCTCCCCGCCCCTGCCCGCCTCTCGTGCCTCATCGACCGCGTCGATGAGGTCCTCGAGCTCCCCCTCATGGATGTCGGCGTGGTCGATGTCGCCGCCGACGTGCCCCCCCTCGCCGCCGCCCTCCTGGTCGTCGCCGCGGTCGTCCACGACGTCCTCACCGACGGTCTCGCACGGCCCCTCGGGCGCCTCAGCAGCGCTGGCGGCGGCGCGGCCGCCTGGGCGCGGCCACATATCATAAGCTGGGAACCCACGCAGCGGCACCACGGGCACCGTATGCGGCGCGATGCTCACGATGGCCCTGCGTGAATACTCCACGATGTAGGCCGACACCGACCAGCGAGGGCACTCCATCAAGCACTTCAACGCGGCGAAGCAAGACTTGAACTTAAGGAGAGATTTGATGTAAACACGATCGGGTCTCGGCGGCAACTCGTTCAATGACCGCACGGGCTCAACTTCCATGAACGTCGGCAGATATGGAGACCAATACATGAGGCCAATATGGTACCATACCTCCGCATGAGGAATATCATCGTCTGCGTCGCCGAGGTCTCGCCCAGTCAGCTTGACCACTAGCCTCCCATCATTCACCATCGAGCGCTCGGTGGACCCAGGGCGCGTGACGAGCCTCAAGAATGTCAAAAAGCGTGCGATCCGATTCGATAAGTCCCTGCCCGCGCCTGTGCACACGCACATCTCAGCAGCGCAACACTTGAGGTACTCAGCGTGCCGCAGACCAGGTTGTTCTTTCGGCCCCGCTGCGTGGGTGATGAAGTCATGGGCCCAATCGTTGAACGCCTCCAATGCGCTGCAGAGGCCGCTGGACTTGTACCTCGGCGATGCCCACGCCAATGCCCGCCCGACATCGTCACACATGTCAAAGTTCGGCTCGAGCACCCGCAACTTCCCCGACGCTGGGACCGCCACGAAGCTGCCAGAGAATCCCCCCAAACAACGCTCCATCTGGTCAACTTGGCACTTGCCCTTGCCGCCCCTGAACTCGCCAATCCGACCAGCCCTCAGGGCGACAGGTAATCTCTCGAGATCAATGCTTCCCCTGGTTGACGCCCCCGCCCCCCCCCTTACCACTTCCCCTGGATCTAGACTCTAGACAGGGGAGGGTGACAGCAAGCGGTCCGAGGGCCCTCTTCGCTAATTGGCATTGTCACGGCTGACGCCCCTCACCATGATCGTGGCCCCCGAGGGGGGGGGCGCCATCGTGGCGCGCCCCTCCATCGTTTCCCCGATGGCGTCTAAGATGCCCCCAAGCGGCGCCCCAGGTCCCCCAAGGTGCCTCCCGAATAACCTGAGCGCCCCAATGGCAGCCAAGTGGCTGACCCCAGGACGGAACCCAAGGTGACCCTGAGAGTGCCCAGAGACGGCTCAAGAGACCTCCAAAGCCTCCGAGATGTCTTCCTTGAAGCCATCTGGGTCGCTTTGGAGGCCTCTGGGTTGGGCAGGCGGTGCGCGGGGCGTGAAGGATTGCCTTGATGTCCTCGTGCAATTGCTTCTGATCCTGTTCCCGCCGCGCCCTGACAACTGCGCGGCAGGAAATGAGCGCCTCGTCCAACGACGGGATGTTCTCGCCCCTATTGCGCAAGACCATGTCAGTTGGATTGGGCTCGATATCTCGCATGGCGTGATGCGAGATCTTGGCACGCTTCGTCAACTTCATCGCATCGCTTCGCGTCGGACCGAAGGAGGAGCAGAAGTCTGACGATCCACTCCTGGCAACACTAGTCGCAGCTTCACCGATCGCCTTCAACCTTGCCTTCTCGTCGGGCGGCAAGTTGTAGTACTCCACGGACCACGCTGCAAAGTCGGCCTTGCCGTTGCTCTCCAACAACTTCTGTCTACAAAATGCTCTCCACGGCCCGCCAGACCCCTTGGAGTGCGATCGAACCTGGTCGCCAGTCTCAAGCTTATCTGGGGTGCAAGGCTTCAATTCGTCAACGAACTGCTGGCGAGATACCCTCGTTCGGGCTTGGTTGAACACCCAGTCGTTCGACATGTCCTGGAATGAGACCTGCGGAAGGTGATTCGATTTAGACTCAACGGTTCTCCTGATCCTGGCGAAAGCTCGTTCTTGCGGCCCGTTGTCGCAAGCCCACTTCAACATGAAACTGAAAATCTTGGCGTCGCACACGTCGCCCTGCAAATCAGGATGGTCCGAAATGATTTGTAAGGAAATCTGGTCCATCAAATGTTTTGACATCTTGCTCACTGCCTCCTTCGTCTCAGGCCGCTCCAACACGCGGAACAATATCCAAGGGAATCCTCGCCGCTCAGCACGCCAGACGTACTCAACTGCGCACCCCAATCGAGATAACGTCTGGAAGGCAACCGCCCTAAACTCAACGCTGTAGCAGTCCTCTGGCACGCACGTCCACATCAGCTCAACTGTAAAAAGCCGCTCAAGTCTGTCGTAGCAGGGCGCCTCCACGTCACCCCGAGCCAGCACCAGCGGCGCGAAGTCGCGCACCAGCAAGTCCATCGAGCCCGCCTGAATGCTGCGAGCTGCCTTCGCCGTCTCGCGCCGCTCGAAGGTCGGGCCATTGATGTAGAAATTCAACTCACGCATGCACCGCAAGCACTCCATGGCGTTCCGCTGGAGGACGAGGAGGCCCAATGGACTACAAGACCACCACCTCCACGCAATCGACCTGTACCTGGCGTTCTTGATAGCGCCATCCTCGGCTGCATTCCCACTGGGAGGCTGGATGTCCGCCTCGTCGCCGCTGACGTCGTCGCAGATCGCTGGCAAGCCCGCCTGCGCCTGGCGCTGCCGCCCCCGCATATAAAGCGCTGAAGTGCCACCCCGCCCCGCGGGCAAAGGACCGACTTTGTGCCCGTGCGCCAACATGTATCGCCTGAAAGCGTGTGAAAACACTCGATGGCAAGCCTCGCCGATAGCAGTCTCGTCCGTTGCGACCTCCCCGCGGCACCACTTGGCCTCCTGGTACCGCGTCGGCGCATGTGGCGCCAATGCCGTAGTCAAACCAGACGCCAGCACGTGGACAATGGAGCTCCTGTCGGCCTCATCGATGTTGCCGTCCGTGATGTGGTAGTGAACGTGCTTGTGGTCCCTCCAGTCGCCGTTGGGTAAGCTGGCCAGCAGGAGCTTGCTCACCATGTTCGCACGTTCGGTCGTGCTGCAAAAAGTTCTCAAAACAAGTTGCCTGTGGAGTGTCGAAGCCTCGTCGCACGCACCCTGTATGATCAAGCACCGTTCATCGACGTCGTCGTATATGCACTTCTGCCAGCGCATCATATCCCCTGTCATCTGGAAGCTGAGCTGGTGATTCAACATGCCCCGCAAGCTCGGTTCCAACAGCGCCATTGTCTTCTTGTACCCTGTCGCGATCAAGTGGCTCCCGCAACACTCCCTGTGGCGAGCCCACCCCCGTTGTTGGCCTATGATCCGCTCTGCCTTCTCGTTCGTAGACTCGCCATCCGTCATCGCATACCGTGCTTTGGCCAAGAACCTGTCCGAAAAAACGCTCGCCCCAGACGCTCTGATCTGCGAGAGCGCCACTGCCTCGCCAGTCCCCCTCTCCAGCAAGCCAAGGCAGGGGGCCTTAGAGTAGCAAATGATCGTGAGCTCGCCGTCCGCCATCGTCGCCAGCATGCTGTACTTGAGCCTCGTCTGCATCGTCTTGCAAACGCCAGTGAACGATGGAGCTTGGATGGCGACCTGCACCCTCCTCGGCAGCGCTATGGCCGCATTGTTCACGTCACGCCTGGAGTCCACGTCGTCCACTGCAACTCTGTAGCCGAGGATGGACGCCTTGCCATTCAGAGTTGCTTCGAAATCAGCTGAGTCATAGCATGCGATCTCCGCGTACTGGTGCAGGCAGCGCTGAGGCACGCTGAGCACGATCGCGCGCTCAAGCGCCGTCTGCGTGAGCATGTCGTTCACTACCGTCGACGCGCCCAGCACCCTGACGCAGCGCGATGCCTTACACTGGTCCAAGCCCCAACGCTGGTTCCGTACGGCATTCGATTGTAAACGATGCTGGCTGGCGGAGGACAAGAGAGATGCTGCAACTGTCACCATGCTCATGTCCATGGAAGCCTCATCACATAGTTGGCTCAAGCGCCGAGCGGCATCCAAGTTCTCAACCAAAGACGTCACCGACATGAAGCCACCGAACCTGTGCGGCAGTATCGTCATGAGGCCACTGTCGCCGCGGGCCACGACCGCCTGGGCGCGCAGGGGGTCGAGCTGCAGATGCTGGGCCTGCGGGTCCAGGTCCACCTGCAGCTGCTGGGCCTGCGGGTCCAGCGCCACCAATGGCAGGGGCTCATTGCGGGGCCTGCCCCTGCGCCTGGGCGGCGGCGCAGCCTCGCCCGCGGCCGCTGGGCCCACGGCCGCGGCCGCAGGGCCCGCTGCCACGGCTGGCGCGACCAAGGACGCGAGGTCCCCCCACGCGGCCGCCCGCGGCCGACGGCGCAGCAGCGGGGCCGCGAGCTGCGACAGGTCGCCCCAGCCGCCGCCGTCGGCAGCCATGACGTCCTAAGGGCAGCCCGAAAAAAAACACATCATCTGTTTCACCAACTCCTCCTCCTCCTCCGAACCTCCATGCACCCCTACGGAGGGAGGAGTGGGGTGATGGAGGGGTCTTTAGCGGCTGAGACCCCTCTCATCACGCAACTCCCCCCCCCGCGTTCCCGCCGCGCTGCGGTGAGGGCCGCGCAGCAGGGGCCAACGAGGGGGCGGAGGGAGAGGAGGGGGAGGGGGAGGAGCAGGAGGAACGCGGAGGAGGAGGATGAGGAGGAGGAGGGTGGGGGGGGAGGAGCGCCGACGACGGAGGACGACGACGATCTCCACGGGGACGTCGCCGCTCGGGCCCCGAAACGACGAGGAGCAGGCCCCGAAACGACGGGGAGCAGGCCCCAACGACGGGGAGCAGGCCCACCGCCCCCCCGCGCCATGCCTTCCTCGTCCTACCCCGCCGGCCCGCCCGACATGTCCGTTCCTCCGCCCTCCACCCGCGTTTCCCCTCCTCACGGTCCTCGGCCGCGAGGGGGGCGGGCGGCGGCGCCGCCGCCCCCTGGGGCCCGAAAGCCCTGAAAGCCAAACGGCTGCCGCGGGCTGGCGGCGAGCGGCGGCAGGAAGTCCAGCGGGGGCCCCGAGAGCGGGGTCGGAGGGAAGGGACGGGGGGGGCAAAAAGGGCAAAGGAGAAGGGGAAGGAGGACGGACGAGGACGAATTGGGATGACGAAAGCCCGAGAGATGATGTGGAGGCACGGACAAACGCTCACACCTACATCCTGGAGGTACACGTGGCACACCTGGCACACCTAACACACTTGGCCACATGTGCGCGGGCCCCCTGGTCATTTTAAAGATATCACCATGGAATAGTCACCCCCCCTGTTATTTTTAAGTTATCATAAGCCATATTTACACTTGTTTGCTTAAACATACGTTATCCCTTCTTAAACGCTACTTCTTTTGTTTTTGGTAGCCCCCGCCCTGTAGGGATGTTAGAATCGTTAACACCAGCACGTAGAGGGCGACCCGCAGCTGGCCCCGATCGATCAGGCGAGCCGCGATGAGCGCCACGATCTCCCAGGGCAGCGGGAGCCTGGTGCGAGCCGGTACCCGACTCCGCCAGCCTCGCAACGCCTGCAGCGCCTTCGGCAGCCCCTGGCCCCCGCGCCCGAACTGCGGCATCATGATCTTCAGCGCCGCCAGCATGTAGGCCCCGCGCTCGGGGTTCCAGCCCTCGGCGCACTGCTGGCCCATCCAGTGCGCCAGCAGGTCGTCCGCCGTCTCGGCGCGGAGGACCACGGTCAAGGACGTCATCCAGGCCACGATTCGAACTCGGCCCAGAGGCGCGTGCACTTGGCCCTCGTGGTCGCCGAGGTCGAGAGGGCCCTCAGGACATGGCCCGCCGAAGAGCGAAGGGAGGCTGCCTCGGGCGCCCGCGCCGCGGCCCTCCCCGCACGCTTGGCGGCCGCCTCCGCCGACCTCGACAGGCGGCTGCGTCTCGCCCGGCGCCGGCCTCGCTGCGAGGCCGCCGCCTGGCTGGAGCGCCCCGCCGCTGCCTGGCGCGGGGCCATCGCCGCGAGAAGCGCCGGCATCAGCACCTGCTTGTCCGGCCTCTCGCGCGGCGGCCAGACTGGCGACAGCACCCCAGCGCAGCCGCGCGCCGATCCCCAGCGCCCGGCGGGAGGGCAGGCCCGCCGGGTTCACCTCCGACGGGATTCACCGCAGCGCCGCGGCGACGCCTCCTGCCACCGCGAGGGCGGCCCACTGGCGGCAGACGCGCGCCATCCTCGGCCGCGAGGAGCGGCCCTTGGTCAGAGCCAGGACGGCGACGAGACTGTCTGAGAGGAAGAGGGCGCGATGGCCGCGCTGCCCGGCGTCCCGGAGGACGTGCTTCAAGGCGTGGATTAGGGCCCTCCCCTCCACGGCTGCGACGCGCCCCCCCCTCTCCCAGGCCCCGCTCGCGATGGCGACCCAGTCCCCAGAGATGCGATGAACTTCCAGAGGCTCGAAGTCGGTCTCCTGGGGCTCCGCGCGGGGGCTGCCTTTGTCCAAGGGGGCGATGGGCTCCTGGATGTCCGACGGCGCGCTGCTGACGTGACCTCTCGAGGACGGCTCGGAGTTGACCTGGGCCTCCAGGGGCTCGATGGGGCTCGATGAGCTGCTCCTGGGGCGCCCTCGCACTGGTCTCGGAAGCGCCGGCGCTCCTGGATCCTACCCATCCTCTCCGCCACGTCTCCGTTCATTTCACGCTCGCGCACCCCTCGGCCCCACTCGGAGGCATCCGCGCGCAGAAATCGGCCCAACCAGCGGGCCCGGAGGTCGGCGTGGGCCAGCGGGGCAACTCCCATGGCCCACATCAGCTCTCGGCGCACGCTGGGCCACCAAGGCTTGGGCGCCTCGCCGGCCTCTGCGACGAAGCGGTGCGCGGCCGAGAAAACTGCCAGCAGCGGGCGCCTCACCATGAAGAGGAAGGCGTAGTGGCCCACGACCTGGCGCGCCTGCTGGGCCGAGACCGGCGCGGCTAGGAGCGCGCGCGCGGCCAGGATGATCCCCCGGGCTCTCCGAGGCGAAGGCGCGACTGCTGCCCGCGCGCCATCGATGACCCAGCCCAGCAGCTGCGCGTGGAGCGAGGCGGCCCCCTCCCCATGCACCGGGAGGCCCTCGCTGCGCAGCTCGGCGACCACGTCATCCTTCATGCGGTCGGCGGCGTCCCCGTCGAGGGCGAGGGGCGCGAAGTTATCGACGCACACGGGGTGCGCGCCAGCGCCCAGACTAGGGCCGGCACGCCGGTCCGCGACCCTGGATGGGCAGCACCGCGGGCCGCGGCCAGAGCCGCTGCGGGCGCGGCTGCCCGGGGGCGGCCTCGCGCCCAAGCCTCCAGGAGTCCAGCGGGGGGAGCGCGAAGCGCGGCCTCCAGGCGTCCTGCGCGTTGTAGAAGGCGTCCGCGATGTCCGCCGAGGCGGTCCACAAGTTGGCGCCGTCCGGCAACTCGATCGCAGCCAGCGCAGCGCCAGCGGCCAGGCGGGCGCCCTCGGGGTCGCCGAACCAGAAGTTGGCCGCGCAAGCGTCGACGGCCAGCCGCTGCTTCCCGCTCTTCTTGGCCCGCGGCGGCGAGCCATCCTGCACCCCAGCGCCGCTGAGGCCATTGAGCGCCTCGACCGCCTGCCGCGCGAGCCAGTGCGCGGACGCTGCGCGCCGCGCGCGCCGCCGCGCGGCTCGGGGACAGGCGCCCACAGCCAGCCCGCCAGGGTCGGCGGCGCCGGGCGCTGGCAACGGAAAGAGGTCTCGCTGCCGCTCTGCACCCGAGCCGTCGAATGTGCTATGTACACCCTCAGCGCCACAGGTAGTCGCCGAGATGGGCCCCGATGCCGTAGCGCCCGGGGGGGCTGGGCCACTGGGCCCCCCCGGGCATGAGAGAGTCATGCCTTGGCTCCGCTAGCTGTCGGCCCAGCGGCGGCCTTCGCCTCCTCCCGCAGCTTGCGGGCGTTCTTCTTGATCTGACTGATGCGCTCGAGCTCCTTGCCGACGACTTCCAGTAGGGCGGGGCACGCCATGCTGCTCGGGCGGCTCGACGGGCCCGTGCCGCCCACGAAGGCGGATACCTCTTCCACCGGCAGCTTCAGCTGTCCAGCATCCTGCCCCCGCTGCTTCTCGCCCCAGAAGTGCTCGATCAGCTGCGTCTTCCTCAGCATCCGCTCCACGCCGAGGAGGTTCGTCACATTGACCTCGTCATGCGTGGCGAGGTCCTCCAGCACGGTGGAGAGCGCGTGGTGCTCTGAGACGCCCCAGTCCGAGGTGCTGGGCCTCTTGCGGGGCCCCCAGCTCTCGTGGTGCTGGATGGGCCCGCCCTCCCTCAGCAACCACGCCACGCACCGCTCCGCGGACCTCGGCTGCAGGGTGAAACTGGGGTCTGCCACCTCCGCCGCCGCCTCGGTCACCGCGAGCCAGCTCCGCGCCAGGCGCGCGCCCGGCGTGCGCGCCAAGATCCTCGCGCCGGCCCCCCGCCACTTGTCAATGAAGTCGCCTCGCCGCCAGTCGTCGAGGAGGAAAGCCATGGCAGAGGCGCCTCCGACGAGGGCGGCGGTCGCCCTTCGGCCCGCCCGCGCGGCCAAGTGCGCGCCACCGATCGGGCCGACCTGCGCCGCAGAGCCGTAGGCGAGGCCGCCCGCGTCCTCGGCAAGTACCCGACGGGGGCGCCGCCGTCGTCCTTCCAGGAAGGCCCAGGAGGAGCGCCGACGGCCGGGGGGCCGCCTGGCGCGATGGGCACGCCAGCCGCTGGTCCTGGCGCCACCACGGGGAGCGGCCCGTCGGGCGCGGGCGGCCCGACAGCAGCCGCCGCGGCGGCGCCGACCCCGGCCGCGGGCGGCGCGGCGGCAGCCCCCCCGGGAGGCGGCACAGGCCCCACGATGGCGGCCGCCGCGGCCGCGGGCGCCACGAACCCCGGCAACAGGCCCCCCGCCATAGGCACCAGGGGCCCCCAGGCGGCACGGGCACCCCAGGATGGCGGCGGCCGAACTCGACGTCGGCCTCCTCGACGGCGGCCGCCAGCCAGGCCGCCTCGCGCGCCGCCGAGGGGGCCTGGCGGAACCTGTACGTCGAACCAGGGTCGGTCCCCGGCGGCGGCGGCCACCTCGGGGCCGAGAACCTCACCGCCGAGATTCGGGCCCCGCCGTCAGCAAGGTCTCGGCGTAGACCATGTCGTCCGGGGTCTCGATGACCATGTCACTCGTGAGTGCCAGCTGGCCCGCCACCCTCCTCTGGTGGAACAGCGGCGCGCCGACCACGTTGTACAGGACCCACGCCCACGCTTCCGACATGAGGCCCCCCGGCGAGCGCGGCGAGCGGCGGCGGCGACCCGGTCACGCTGGCGACCGTCGAGGGCCGGCCGCGGCCCTCCACCGCACCCCAGCGCGGTGCCCAGAGCCGGAGCGCCGTGAACGTGCCGAAGGCCCCGAGCGACGCGCTAGCCAGCGCGGCCGTCCCACAGGCGAGGGCGACGGTGCCCGTGGTCGC